GTACACTAAAGAGAACATGAATAACTTTCAGGTAAGAATTGTTGTGGTTTAAACATTGGTGCATCACATGCAAAATTCGTAATTAAACACAGACTACAGCTGTGCTCCTTAAAAATGGCCAAACTGACGCTTTATTCAAAAGAACACCTCTTCCAGCTCCTTGGCAGGGTCCCCACTGAGAACTACTGGGAAACTGAGCATTTTGGGGTAACTTTTTTCCACAAAGAAAATGAAAGCACGCTGAAGTCTTGTTTGCTTTAAGATAGGTGTCAAAGCTTGGTCTGAATTCACGTGAACCTTCATGTGAATTCTTGCAGATGAGTTCAACATTGCAAAACTTTTAAACACCTGCACAGATAAGCACGGTTCAGGTCTTTGCAATTTTGAAAACTTATTTACAGAAAGCAGGTTTAAAGGTTTATTAAGTTCTTAATTAGCTATGCTAATTTATTTTTTTTTTAATTTACATTATTGTAGGAGTTGTCTGCTGTTCAGAAGTCAACAATCAAGGCCTCAAATTTTAAGGCAAGCAGGAAGACCAGATTTATTGTACATGGATTTGTAGACGATGGAGAAGAAACCTGGTTGGCAGACATGTGCAAGGTAGGTACAGCAAGGACACCCTTAGTTTGCATTTTTAAACACATTCATGTAAATTGTCCATTTTCCCCATTTCTAACAATTTTTTCTCATGGTATTTGTAGCGATAAGAAAGCAAAAATTTCTTAAAAATGTACATCCAAAGGGACCTCAGGAGGAGCATTTCAAATAAAGCTTTCAATCCAGGACTTGCTATGAGCACTGGATGTAGTAAAGCACTTTGCTTTATTGATTTTTGTGCTAATTCCACAAATTATTTCCTAACTCTGTCCCTATGCAAAGTGCAATTCCAGCTTGTGGTTTTCTCAAGTCCTCCAAACATGCTTTTAATTGCAGCTAGAACTAATGAAAGCCCCATAGTCATGCAGCACAGAGCAAAATAACCCTTGATGGCACGTTGAGGATAAGGTTTTTCAATCATGAACAGAAATACAATTTTTAAAAATAATGTATTCCTATTTTACTTATGAGAACACTATGAGGAACAACGTGAAACTAAAATAAAGGTATTTCATGTTTACTGCATTCCCACTGCCTGCTTCTTTTTGATGCCAGGTCAAAAGAAAAAGGATGGATGATCGTTGGATTTGTCAGTTAATAATTTGTTTCAAGTACCAGAAGCAGATTGATGCTTTTATATTTTTCTGTCTTACATTTCGCATTTTAAAATAGAGGTTTATTTCCTGGAACTTCACAATCAATGAGATAGCTCACAATATATTTTTCAGCTTGTCCCTTAAATCCATTTGATCAGTTTTCATCTATTATGGTAGCCTGTGTTTTATCACAATACTCTAGTTCATATTTAGATACAAATTGGTCTCAATGAATCTTTTCAATAAAGAGCAGAGCAAAGGGGATTGTGAATACATCAATCCTCCTCTGTGTATCTGTTACTTGCTTCCCTTCCCATTAAGCAGCAATCCTATCGGCAAATTGATTTTTACTACTTCTAGTATGGTCACTGACACTTTTACTGCCTTTTTTGTCCTTTGTCAGTTGTTGCCCTATACTTCAGCTGCTAAAACAAAATACTTTTAGCCAAACAATCCAGCTCAATGGAGAACAGTAAAGCTTCTGATTCTGTGGCAAAGTCTCTGCCTGCATATACATATTTCCAAATAGAGCCATAAATCTGAAATGAACACCAACATTTTATACACCATCTTATAAAAACACATTCTCTTTCTTACAAATCTGCATCAGAAAACCACTATTGGCTCTAACTATCAAAAATATTCTAATTGAATTTGAGTTAAAGTAGTACTTTTAAATCATTGAAGTGAATGGGTACATAAGTAGAGCTCTTATTTAGTGTTACATACCGAGTTTGTTTGAAAATAAAAATTGAACATTTCATTGTTGATATTGTTCTCCTTTCTGTAAAAAATACTGCTCTGGGTATTTGAAATGATTACTACATTACATATCACCCTCTTCCAGCATTGTGTGATCACACAAACCCCTCTGAGCACACATCCATGCTGCAGCTTTGCTTTTCAAATCATTCTCACACAAGTTCACACAAACTTTAGTAGCTGAGCCACAATGACCAACATGAACTGATCCCATACTGTATTTACCACGGATTTTCCTTTTGTTTTATAAAACAGAGGATGCTTACTGTGGAAGATGTGAACTGCATCTGTGTGGACTGGCAGAGAGGTGCAATGTGTACGTACAGCCAGGCGTCCAACAACGTCCGCATCGTGGGCGCTGAAATCGCTTATTTCGTGAACGTCCTCAAGGTAAGAGACTGCTGCTCCTAAAGCTGTTCTGTAATACTGATGTCAAAGAAATTCAGCTCTGGAGCTTTCACAAACGTGGGTGTAACCAGCAGAAAATATTGTCCTCTACTCCACCGTCAGTTGTGCTGAAAGCAAGCAGCACAATTTTTTGTTTAAAAGGAGAATATTCTGTGATAGCAGCGAGGCCTGCCAGCTTAAAGAGAGGAAATGCTAAAGGAAATTCTCACAGTACAGCCAAAGAGTTACTCTGTAGATATTAACAATGCAGTGTAAAAGTAAATATGCAGAAATAATGGATTAGCAAACTTCTTTTTCATGTAGACAACCAATGAGCTCACAGGAACACCATAAAACCAGCTGGCAGCACTGGCTGGGGACAAGCAGGACCCACCAGCCGTCCCAGGGAAAGCTGTGGTGGACAGTGCTCAAACCCACAGGGGATGGCTCCTTTTGCAGCCAGCCTCACATGGCAAGTGTACCTTGGTCTGAAGCCTTCTCTTAATCTAATTGCTTTCAACACAAATTTCCCATAAAAGAACTATAAATAACTAAAACCAGAGAGTGTGCTGGGTCCAGCAGTGCTCTGACCCACCTCTCACTCTCCACATCTGCATTGCAGCTACTGAATTCCTGTCCAAAAAGGCTGAAGGCATTTCTCATCTCATGGCCTCCTCCAGCTTGGAGTGGTGCTTTAACCTGCCAGGTGTAACTAGGAGTTCCTGCCTGGTTTATTCTAGAAAGCATTCTGTGAACCTTAATAGGTCCTCTGGAAGGATCCAGAGCCTCTCTTGAAGAATCCAGAGTCCCTCAGGACTCTTTGTAGAGCTGTCTGGAGTTATAACAACCTCCAAGCCAGTGCAGCAGCTGAATAAGGAGGTTTGGAAAAATCTCTGTGTTGGTCAGAAGTAACTGGCAAAGAGACGCTGAAACCCTAGAGGAGATTCTGAGTCAACAGGAAAAATTATAGTTTCCCAGCCCCTTTCAAATCCTCCCTGTTGCTGTCTGCTGATGCAGAGGGGCATGGCAATGTGTGTTTTCTGCTGTTTTGCAGGAGGAGTACGGGTACTCCCCAGCTGATGTTCACATCATTGGCCACAGCCTGGGAGCGCACGCTGCGGGCGAGGCCGGCCGCAGGTACCCGGGCATCGGCAGAATCACAGGTCAGTGCTGCAGCCACCTCCCAAAACCCACATCCTCATTTTATTCATGCCTGCATCACTTAGATAGAAGAACCATGGGCAGCTATATTTGTGACATTCGTTCTGAATCATCCCACAGTGATTACTTCTCTGGGCTGCAGCACAGTCAGGGCAATTGGGATATTATGCTCCTTTCACATTGTACCCCAAGGAGCAGGGCTGTGCTAAGTGGGGGAAAGAGTGTGATCATTATTTTCCTTGCACATGTTACAGCAAAGGGATTTTTTTTTTTTTTAATTCAGTACTTCCAGAGGTTAAAACTGTGGGTTTGAGCTCCTTATTCATCATGTAGGCAATGCCAAGGGCATTGTGCATTAAGCAGAGTGGCTTTCATGGATAAAAGACAATTTTGGATGTTATTAACAAAACCCTTTTCAATTGTTGTTTTTACTCGGGGAGTTCAGGCTTTGTGAAACTTGGACTAATAGTCTACAAAATTCAGTTTAAAAGCAAACCCAAAATAAGCTGCCTAGGGACAAGAAGAGATGCAAGTATAAGGCAGCTAAAGCTGTGCAATTTACAAGAGTTTACAAGCACCTGAAATTGCTGCAGCAATTTGGGAAGCAAATTGATTCCATTTTCTGCTAGGTTCAAAAGCAAAGCTCATTGCTTCAAAACGAGATGTTTTTTCCCAAAATCTGACTGGAGCCTGACGTGGGCAGGCAGGTTTCAACATTTCAACACCTCCAAGCAGGGGGTGCTATCAGCACAAATTCCTCTGAGCACTCTGAAACAAGGGACTCTAGAAACCACCCAGATGGATCAGCTCCTTGGGATGCAGACACAGTAACCTCAGTTTGAGCAGGGTTATTAAAGAGAAGTTCAGTTAAAAGAAAAAAAAAGTTAATTCTAAGTGTTGGCATTCAGTATTGCTGTAAGTATGCGAAGCAGTGACATTTAATAGGCTTTCCACAGGTGACTTCCTGGGAGAAAAGCCACTTGGAAGTCAAGAGCACACATCCTCATTTTATTAATGCCAATATTACTTAGATATAAGAACCATAGGCAACTAGATTTGTGACATTCATTATGTACCATCTATATGTAAAATGATTCTACACCTACATTTCTTTATTCATACATAACACTACTCTTTTTCTCTCAGGACTGGACCCTGCACAGCCTTATTTTCAAGGCACTCCAATTGAAGTCAGACTGGATAAATCTGATGCAGAATTTGTTGACGTTATCCACACAGACACAGCTCCCACAATCCCCAACTTAGGTGAGTATGCAGCTCTACTCTACTGATTATTTATTATTTACTGCACTGGATTATCTATGCCCTGTGGCACTTCAGTGTCCTGATTGTTCACCGAGGCTGTTCTGGGGCAGAACAGAACAAATTCACCACTTCAGTCACTATCAGCTCCTGTCCTAAAGCACCGTGCACAGGCAAACGTGGAGCCAGCAGCTACAGGTATGAGATAACATTCATTTAAAACGCGCTTACCCCCGTTTCCAATGCTCCAGGTTTTGGCATGGCGCCAGCTATAGGACATCTTGACTTTTATCCAAACGGAGGAGTTGAGATGCCCGGCTGTGACAAGAACCCCATTTCACAGATCGTAGATCTCGATGGCATCTGGGAAGGTAAGCGTGTTGTTTGCATCACAAATTCAGGGGGAGCCCTCAAAGTGCAGGCACTTATCTTGCCTTCATTCAGGTGTTTTACATTGGCTTTTGGTGTATTATCCACCAGCTGCAGGCTGAACTGAAGCTGTTAAAATGCTCAAAACACGCCACTTTTCCAGAGTTTATTAAAAAATAAACAAGACAAAGGGTTTGCCTCTGGAAAATGTGTTTCCTCTAAAGGATCTAATATCAGAAACAAAAGTTGTTGGAGCTGTGCCAAACATTTTGCAGGGTCTTTTAAGAGCACATTGCATTTTGTGCCTAAGTGCCCAGCAGCAGCACTGGTGGAATTGGGCAAAGATGCTCACAGCTTCTCCTGGGAGAGTGTCTTTGGCTGAAATTCTTCGGAGACAGAGCAATTAATTCGATTCATTGTTAAGTTACAGATTACAACCGGAGTTGCATTGAAGTGATCTCATTGCGCCTATTTTTAGGCAGCTAAAAAAAGATTGGCACGTAGTTGCTCAACTACACTGTTCTTTGTTGTTTAACGTGGTTCTTATAAAATCGCTAAGTATCAGAGGGTTCCTATGTATATTTCTAAAATTAAATTGCACATAAGATTTAAAAAAAATAAAACCCCGAAGATTTCTGCTGTGGAGATTTTTCAGTACATTTTCTGAACTCTTTCTTACACTACTGCAAACAACTTAAACTCTGGGAATCCATTTTCTGATTTGTGATCGCTAGCTTTTTACTCCACGTTTTATTCAATGCAGCTGGAGGCATTACTTTTTCATTCTTGCCCCCCTTTTTTTTTAATAGACTAAACTTGTTATCATAATGGGGAATTAAAGCACAAAGAAATAACTGCGTAGTGTATGGTCTTCTTTTTAACCTGAAGTCAGGAAAATACAGGCAACACAAAGGAAAATAATATATTCATTATTTTAATTTTAAGAGTCTCCCTTTCCTAAGTACCTCCCAAATAATAATAATTTTGTTTTGAAGCCCTCAGCTGGAGCAAATCTGCACTGCCCTAGGAAGTTCACTGTTAAATACTTTTCATTTGGTTTTCTTTTGTTATGGTAATGAAACTGTTGCCTACAAAAGACCTGCTGCAGGCAGCTCTGGTTTCTATTGTTAAACTCGGTCAGATTGCTTGAATAAGTGGTTTTTTTGAGGGGCAGGGGCTGGGCTGGGCTGCACAGTCGGTTCCCCAAAGCATTTAAAGTTTGCATTTTGTACCTGTTGAGCCAGTGACATTCCTTAGGGAATCATCCCTTGGGGTGAGCGCATCCGAAGCAGGAAAGGTTCCAACCTCACGTTTGATTCTCCAAGAATTGAAACGAGGTTTTTGAGGAGGAATGCTGCATCCCGGTGACGTGGGTTTCTTTCCTTGAGTGGGAAGAGAAAAGGAGAACCAACCTGGGCGCATCTTTTCACAGGAACTCGGGACTTCGTGGCTTGCAATCACCTGAGGAGTTACAAGTACTACTCGGACAGTATTGTCTACCCTGATGGATTTTTAGGCTATGCCTGTGCTTCATATGATCTTTTTAAAGAAGTAAGTATTTCTCAGAGCTTCAGGATGGACCCTATTGAAAGCATTATTAAAAATAAATCCTTTATCTAATTGTTTTTTCTTTTCCTTGTCTGGCTGGATAATGTTATTAATAGATACATTTGTTTTCACTAGGGAAGCTGTTTCCCATGCCCAGAAGCGGGATGCCCAACTATGGGTCACTATGCAGACAGATTCAAGGACCAGGTTAAAGATGAGTTCACAAAACTTTACCTGAATACTAGAGAGGCCAAGGATTTTCCTCGTGAGTTCTGAATGCTTCCATTGCTACCTACTCCTCATAAAAATTTTCTTTTCCTGTTCGACAGTTAACTTTAGCAGATCTCATCACAGTGCAAAGTCTCTTCTGTTCTTCATGCTTTTTCTTCTTTTGCCCCATCACTAATGCCAGTTTGGGGCCCTACAGGACAAGACACTGACAAACTCTGGAGTCCTGTGGAGGTTACAGAGATGTTTGGAGAACTGCAAGGTTCAAGAAGGGAGGAGAGACAATGCACAGAAGTTGCAGAAAGGAAATTTCTTATTAAATAGAATGAAAATTACATCACGATGGCACATACAATAGTATGAAAATTACATCAAATCACAATGGTTAATGGAGGAAGAGGGGCCCAGAGAAGCTGGGAAATCTCCATCATTGAAGATACCAAAAACTCCATTTGACAAAGGCCAAGAACAAGCTGATCACAGCTGTTGGATGGACAAGATGAGCTCCTTTGCAACCTCAGTTATCCTAAGTGCCAGCTCTCACAATGCACTGCTTAGTTTGCTCTTGTAGAAGCACAAATCAGAATCTCCTTGAGCTCCTTTTGGTAATTGCACTCTAAAAGGAAGTTCCCACCAACAAAAATTATTTTCCTGGAGCTTCAGGATTCTTTCATGCTGCTTAGATTCTGTATCTGTATTTATTCCCTAACACCCCTTTATTTCCAGCTTGACTCTGTATGAAAACCTTAATGGTCAAAATGCTGAGATCTGTATAGTATTTACTACAATATGGACTAGTTTTCTCTTTTTTCTCTCCCAGAAAGTAACACAAATGTCTTCCATTTCTCATGTTGATCTCATTAGGACATAGCAGATTTGACTCACTGGTGTTTTATATTTTCTGCTCTCAACTATACTGTACAGACACACAAGATAAAAAAACACCCTAGAATTTGATGTTTTGGGGACTGTTTCTCCCTGGGTACAGTCTAAATAATTCTATTTCTTCTGTGTAGTTTGGAGGTACAAAGTTTCCGTGACCCTCTCTGGAAATAGCAAATTAGAAGGATACGTAAATGTGGCCCTCTATGGCACTGGTGGGAACACAAAGCAGCACCAGATCACCAAGTAAGTTAAAAATTCAATAGAAAAGAAACTTTTCTCCTAGAACCCTTAATTTGTATTTGTAATTATTAATTCTGTTTTAATTGATCTTATGAAGAGAGAAACAAAAAGGCAGCATTTCAGGCCCACCTGCCTTTGCTGCCTCTGAATAAATGACTTGGGATGAATTACATCAGAAATCTGGCAGTAATGTTGCTGCCATATAATGGGATAAATGTTGTGTCTCTGCTGAATTCCTACCCTCTTGCCACCACAGCAGAGCCTTTGACAAGACTGGTAGTTAACAGTAAATACTGCCATGCCTCACATCCATAAAATGCTGTTTTTCACAGGGGTAACCTCAAACCAGGCAACACTTACACAGCCTACATTGATGCAGAAGTTAATGTAGGAGAAGTTACCAAGGTTAAATTCCTTTGGAACAACAACTGGATCAACCCAACTCTTCCTAAACTGGGAGCTGCAACCATCACAGTGGAAGTTGGGCAGACTAGAAGAGAGTAAGTATTGTGAAAGTCTTGAAAGTTACCGGAGAAGATAGTGACAAAATTAGAAGTGGAGTGGAAGCCTTTCCACAAGAAAAGTTATTGAAGGTGTTAAAAGGAAAAGATTCTCAAGGAAACCTTTTCTTTCCTTCCTTTCAAGACACTGTTCATCCATAGCTCTATTCACTGCTACTTCAACCCTTTGCCTTAAATAACCTCAAAGAAAAACTGAAAATCTCTCCAGGCTTTAGAAGAACAAACTTTCTGTAAAACCTTTTGGGTGAGAAAAATTAATGCTGGCTTGGATTGTCAGCATCATTCTTGCCAAACTCCTTCTGTCCATAAAAACAGATTATTTGTGGGTCTGATTCACTGTCAGCTGGAACCAGCCAAGTATTCCATTGGTATCGATGGCCCCTAAAGGTCATGACTGACTAAAGAGGATGGTGATAAAAAATCCACCTTTCCAATGAGGAACAGTAACACTTAGAGCCTACTGAAAAGCTACCTATAAAGCTGAGGGAAAAAGGCTAAAATTGAATTCTGTAGACTTTGTAAAGCACAATGTGGATGTTCAGATTATAGAAGCATGGTTTACTGATCCAGTTTTATTAATTTTCCTGGACCAGTAAACATTAATTCCTTCATTTTCTTGATCAGTTATTTTATTTTATCCAGATCATGAGTTGGTATCTAGAACAAGAGATACAGTTTAAATTTTATTTATTCTATTTTCAAATGAGCAGTTAAAATTCCACCACTTAAAAGACAACATGAGAGGTGGAAACAGTTTCAAGCAAAGTGAAATTATTACAGCCAAGTAGCACTTGAACTCATCTTAAGCAGAGGTCCTAAGTCAGGTTGTAATTTCCAGTCACCAAAGCACATTGCTGACAAAGTGTATTTCTGTAGACAGTGTAACATATGTCACAATAGGAACTCACCCTTCTACTGACTTATGGCCTTTGCACAAATAGTTATGGCCACCTCTATAGAGATGGTAGCACAAAATCTGGGGAAAAACCCCAAAACTGTAACGTTAAAGTAAGGTGGGCAATGAAGCAGAATGAATACAGTCTATCAGTGCTTTCCCCAGCAGTTATATTTCAAATTTGGAAGCTCAAAGTTTGTTCTGTTCATTTGTCTGATGACAGATCAGGTTGTGTTACCATCAGTGTAAATCCACCCGTATAATTTCAGCAGCTCAAGGTGCTCTCCTTTCCTTTCTCCTCAGGTACCGTTTCTGTGGCTCTGAGACCGTGAGGGAGGATGTCCTGCAGACTCTGACTGCTTGCTAACACCGTGTTCAGATCCCCAAATCCTGCTACCAATAAAAGCTACTCATGCAGAAAACACTGGAACGTGTGTTACTGATGGTGTGTGTTGTTTGGGGTGGGGTTTTGCTGGTTTGGGAGGCAGAGGTTTAGTCTGTGGATGCCTCTCTAGGACAGAATTTTTAGAGTGGCTTTAGGAGTGAATGTGCCAAAACCTGTTGAAGAATTTCCTTGCTTTCAGCCTGTTTCAAAATAATTTCAAGCAAGAGGAAAGGGGGCAG